TTGTGAGAGGCTTACTGTAAAAGTGAGACGATGAAGGCGAGATATCAAATTTCAGGCCGTTTTAGTTCTGCTTTTTTCTGTAAACACACAGGCAACAAAGGGTGAAAGGCTTCCAGTCCTGATGCTTAACTAAATTCACTATTTCCCACGGAATAAGTACAAACAAGGCCCTAGAAGCATTCATCTGACAAGGACATACTATTCCTCTATTGATAGCACAAAACATATAAACCCCCTGATTGACATGAGGTACTAAAATGAAACATTAATAGCTGCCATAATGTTTTACCGAGGCAGCAAATTCGTGAGACCCGGGGATATAATGAAGAGAAGTTTAATACCGCTTGACAATTTCATGGGAAAGTTGCCATGCAGTGCTATATTTGGCAAGTATATTGCACTGCGTGGCCTGCAATAACATCAAGCTGTCATAGAAAGTGAAGAAGCAAACAACCTATAATGCAATAAATAACAGGGGGAGGGATAAGTAGGTAGAACTATCACTGCTGCACTCAGCATTTTACTGGGACAGACATAAATTATGTCAGATTAAGCTTTCTTTTTAGATACATTCTCCACCTACAAAAAGAATACTGTATATAATATGAGGGTGATAAATATTTCATCTCAAAATAGAAATTGATCATGGCTACATTTAGTTTATCTCTTGAAATTAGTTTATGGCTTTTTATGTTCCTATATGTATTCAGCGCAGGGTTAACAGTTCCTTTGTTGCACCATTGTTTTATTGTCTCTTTCTGGTGTGTTTGCCAAATATTGTCTATCATGCACTCGGTTGACAACCATTTCCCTTAAGTTGAACTTCAACAACCCCTGATCCTGAAGCTGCTGTTTCCTCTTGAAACCAAATCCTGTCCAGAAAGAAAAGAGCAAGGGGGCTGAAATCAGAGTGGGACTTTGCTTATTGCTGCCCAGGTTGGGTCTCGCCGATCTGACACATATTCCCTGTGAAAACCTTACAACACAATCCATCAATAATACATTCACCTTTCGACAGTAGCTTCACGTCTACCATATCAAATATTCAGCAGTCTGTATGTGGCTGCATTGGGTGTGACACCAAATATCAAATTGTTGCGACCAAAAACATGCTCTATACAGTATATCACAAATAAATCCTGTTTTTATTGGAATGTTAATATCAGTAAGATCCTAAAAGGAAACTAAAAATGTGAAAATGCAAATATTGAGTTCAATATTTAGCTTTTTAACTGTACTCTGCAGACAGCCTCTGCATCATTGAAACAGCTGTAATACTGTATGTTTTGTTCTGAAGGATTTCAGCATGACATCACCAGCTATGCACAAATGTGCTTTTTGAGTCAGGAGCAACCTATATGGCCTCCCCTGAAACTAGATACAGGTAGTGTAGCAGTGTTGTTGGCCAGCCTGTGGTCATATTACAGACAAGACAGCAACAGGCACATAGAGGTAACCCTAAGGTCGCGGACTGTCAGACAAGGGTAAATGTTGCTTAGTTGCAGTTATGAATAATAGTCTAATTCTTTTCATTTTAATCAAGACATACTGTTTGCAAATTGGTCAAAGCCTTTTAAAAAGAATTTGTTTTACAAAAGATCTGTGGTTGGATTTCTGAAAGGGCAATTTGGTGTTTAGATGATACATTATTAAATAAGGCTCTATTATCAACCCATGGTTGGCAGGTCAGTGTTGAAAACATAATCAAAAAATCACATGCTTACTCATGAGTATGTCATCTAAACAAAAGGCCAAGGAGACAACCGGCATCCATGACAGTCTAAACAAGAGCTGAAAATATTTTATTCAAACTTAAAGAAAGTTCAAATTCTGTATCTAATATCTTTCTTATGACCCACAGAGGAAACCCTGACAAGTGTGACATATGGGGGAACACGCCGCTCCACCTGGCAGCCGCCAATGGTCACCTCAACTGCCTTTTCTTCCTGGTGTCTTTTGGTGCCAACATTTGGTGCCTGGATAACGACTACCACACGCCATTGGACATGGCAGCCACAAAGAATCACATGGATTGCGTCCGCTACCTGGATAACATCGCCACCAAGCAGACAGGCCTCAACACGAAGCTGGTCAGCAAGATGAGGGACAGGGCATTTCGCGATGCTGAGCGGCGAATAAAGGAGTGCGTGAAGATGCAGAAGAAACACCACAAACGCATGGAGCGGCGGTTTCAAAAGGAGACTTCTGAGGCCTCCGCATCAGACGTTATGAGCTTTTCCAGTTACAGCAGCAGCTCTCTTAGCCACAAGTTGCACAAATTAAATTCAGCCACAGTCAGCGTGCCATATTCTCAGGTCAGGAGTTCTTATTTTGTATTCTTAAAGGATAGAGTTGGTTTTGTTTGGTATGTTTGCATTGTTCAGGTTGCCAACTAGACAAGAGTTTTTAATCCCTCCTCTTTAGTGCATGACATGAAGAGACTAAGCTAAATTCTAACATGGTCACAGTGGCAATGCTAAAGAGCTATGTTAACAGATGTTACAACTGATTATTAAATTACTAGTCTTAAAAGTATTTGGTCATAAACCACAATATTGATTTATATTATTTTGTGGACCATTGACATGTCCTGTGTAATAATTGAAATTGGTCATAAGTAATGTTTGGAACATTTGAATTTTTAATTAGTTATTGTGACTAATTACTGTTTTTATTTATGTCATATTAGGCTACTCTTCATGCCACAAACCGCGGGAAGACCAAGATACAGAGGAAGCTGGAGAAGAGGAAACAAGGAGATGGAACATTTAAAATCTATGAGGAGGGGAGGAAGAGTGTTCGCTCTCTCTCTGGACTTCAGCTGGGCAATGATGTCATGTTTGTCAAACAGGGGACTTACGTCAACCCTAAGGACCGTGGGCGTCCCAACGTTCGTGACATGTTCCCCAGAGACAATTACGATGCCATTTCACGTGCCATGAGCGAGCCGGACCTCCACGGGCCCGATGTGGAGTACTCTGAGATCAGCACTGACTCAGGACATGATTCCCTGTTCAACAGGCCTGGTCTGGGAACGATGGTCTTTAGAAGGAACTATGTGAGTGGGGGGATGTTTGACCTTGGCGGTCGAGATAAGGACAGTGTGGATCAGTCAGGCAATAATGTGCGTTTACGCAGTCGGCTGCAGCATTACCCGAGTGCAGATGAAGACAGCATCGGCAGTGCACGCAGCCTTCAGGAGAGGAACGTGGAGGAGTTGCCCTGGGAAGACGTCGAATTAGGGTTGGATGACGATGACGAGGTTGACACAAGCCCTTTGGAGGTGTTCCTTGCCACCCAGAGCATGGGTGACTTTATTTCCATTTTTAAGAGGGAGAAGATTGACCTTGAAGCTCTGTTGCTGTGCTCTGACCATGACCTCAAGAGTATCCACATCCCCTTAGGACCAAGAAAAAAGGTCTTAGAGGCCTGTAAGAGACGGATGGAGACTATAGAAGACCCAGACTACATAGAGGACACACAACTGTGACTGATGGGAATTTCTGTTGGAGAGCGTAGTGAAGAAATATGCAGATATTTCTTATGGTGTCTTTGAAATCCAGCATGGATTGTCTTCGGTAACCTACTGTTTTTTTCACTTAATTCTGTCCTGCAGATAATGAAAGTTGTTGTATGTGGCTCCTCATGATGTGGGCTCATCCATGCTTAACGTTCAGGGGAGCATTGTGGAGTGAAGATTTGGACAGGGAAGACATAATGATTTACCTCTCCTGGTACCTCAGTGGTAACAAAGAAGAAAAGACATTGTGAAGATGAATGTGTCAAGCAAGAATAGGTGATTGTGAGACAAATTCCTCATAGGGTTCTGTAGGATTTAGTGTCTTGTTAGCCTCAGGAGAGTCACTGCAAATAGGTGTTGTATGTTGGATGGTGGGAGTTGCCTGCACTGCATGGTTTAACAAACTGAAAGACCATTTTCAGAGTGCAGTCCTGTGCATGCCATGTGAGACTGTTAACAGAGAACTGATTGTGGGGCCAATGTCCCCTGAAAATGTTTGCCCCTGTGGGGTAAATCTTACCACCTCATGTGCCTGCATTGCCTGTGCATTTGCTTAAAGGTGTCTTTTTCATAAATACTTTTGACATTAAATTCATTGTTAGTTTATTATTAACTCTTTCAATCACAACATTCTGGGCAAAATGTCCACCCACAGCCACTGTTTCCTTCTCTGTGAGTGTTTACAGAAAGACTGTCGTATTGTGGCTCACTGTTAATACAGGCCAATTGTTCATGGAGATTCCTGATTTCTTTAGAATGTGAAAACACAGTGTCTTTAGATCATTTTATAATTCTTAATATAACATCATTCTGTTCTATATTTTGCATATAGATTGTTTAACTTTTGTAAATAACTAATGTTAGTGTTGACAATTTAACAGTTCTCCAACTGTTGTATACCGAGTAGTTTTACATAATGTATTGCACTCGTTACTGTTAACTACTTGTTTAAAATTGCTAACAAATAAATCCATAAATGTTAAGCTGCTCACATTTTAAGACGTGCCTTTTTGGGATAATTATTGGTGTGTGTGTGTGTGTATATCTCTGTACTCCATGACCCGAAATCAGGAAGTTGTTCTGCAGATAAGTGGTGTTGCCTGGAAGCTCCATGCCTCTGACATAACACTGTTATCAGAAGGAAACACTGTCAGACTCTCCCTCTTGAGTCCTTTAGCCACATTCAGTAACCAAAAGCTAAACTATACATAGACTTTAGAGATGATTTTTCAACTTGTTTTCTTCTTGGCAGTAGGAACCAGACACTACCGGTTTTTGTGTAACTATTATTGTTGAAATAAACCTTTAAACCCAACTTTACCAGGGAAAGTCAAATGAGTAAATAAGCCAGGTCATTAACAGAATTAAGGAAAGGATGTTTATTCCCTCCCTGGCTTAGTCATGATAAACTCGTCATTTCCTCCTCTCATCTGCTGTATCCTAAGCTTGGCGAGTGTGGATACAGAACACAGAGAAGAGTTAAACAGGAGAGGGGTGAACATTGAGAAATGTTCAGCTGGCTGAAATACTTCAGGCGTGGTTTTAAATGTTTTCCTTATGCACTCTGGCGGTCTTTAGATTTCAGAAACGAGCAGCAAAAAGTAGTCTGTGTTGTGGTTACTGCCTAAAACTCAACCAAAACAGCTTTAGGTGATGAAGGAAAACTGTCAAAGATGGCCACGCGCTGCAGCAATAATGAGGAAAACTTGAAGGATATTCAAAACAACACAGACTTAAATAAGGAAGTGAGGGATCCTACCACCGAGATGCTGCTCCCACCAGATGTGGTATGTGATTCCTGCATCGACAGCCCTAACAAGGCCCTAAAATCCTGCCTGACCTGTCTGGTTTCTTACTGCGAAGCCCATCTCAGACCCCATCTGGAAAACACGAAATTTCAAAACCACCGGCTTGTGGATCCTCTGCACGACATCGACTGTCGGACTTGTGAGGTTCATCAGCTTCCTCTCGAGCGCTTCTGTCTGATGGACGGCTGCTGTTTGTGTCTGGAGTGTGAGAAGGAGCACGAGGGGCACACGACTGCATCTGTGGGGGAGGCACGGACACAGATTGAGGTCTTAACAACACAACACAACAATTTATTCAACACAGTCAGGTCATGTTGTAATGGTTATCTTTGCTATTTGTGCCATTTCTTAAGGTGGCTTCGACTGCTAAAAAAAAACAACCTTTCAACATATCAAAAGGATTGAATATTACGTCATATTAAGTACTTATGTCATATGTAATGGCCTGATATCTTTGTAGAGACTGTTTTTTATGTGTTGGTTACAATTGTTTGTACTCTAGACTGACATGCAGAATAAACAAGAAGAGATCGGTCAGAGCTCCTCAGCAGCTGAGAAAGCAATTGGAAAGCTCCAGGACAACACTGACTTAATAAAGGTATGTTATAGGCAAACATACACCAAAATACATTTTCCTTCGATTCATTTAATGCACATTGGTCTGGTTTGAATGATATATATTTTCTTTTTTCCTCTTGCTCTTCAGTCTTCAGTGCAGGAGGTTTGTGTTATTGTTGAACAGCAGTTTTCCAGGCTGCAGACAACTGTGGAGGAGGCCAGGAAAGGGGTGAAGGAGGTCCTGGAGGGAGAGCAGAGACAGGCCCTGAGACAGGCTGAGGGCATCCAGGCACATTTGGAGCAGAAGAGAACAGAGCTGCAGAAAACTTTGGCTCAAATGAATAAACTCTCCAGGAGCAAGTCAGATGTTGACTTCCTGCAGGTACAAAATATCTCAAATATTTCAGATAAAAACAAATAAGTCTTTTGTCTCAGATGATCTGGGATAAGCACAGGAAGTTCTCTGAGACAAGGAGTTTACTTTGGACGACTGTGTGTTGACAGTATATACAGAACAGGCATTTCACTTAGTCTGTTATTTTTGCAGAGATCAGGGAAAAAGCAGTTGCATTCAACAGTCTCGTTTCACACACTAATAGATGTCACTTTTGTTTTGCTTGTTCCAGGAGTACTCAGAGTGGAAGAAAGGAGTGGCAGATGTATGTCTGCCTAGTCCCTGCATCAACCGCATGAACCATCTAACTTCCTTTGTCCAAGTTGTGACAGATACCACCAAGGAGCTGTGTGACCTGATACTCTCGTCTTGCACAGAAAGGCTGAAATGTAAAAGTGGTGAGTGTAGATCATACTCTATCAACATAAATTCCTATCTTAAGTCTTTTTGCTTACCATGGACCAAACGGATTGAGGCTTCCTTTCTTCAGTGTACCTTGTAATTAGGAGTGAAATGTGATCAGAATTGCTCTTATATCAGTTCAAACGTACAACTGTTACAATACATTTGCTGATATCACAATGTCTGCCACGATTTGATTTTTACTTTAATTCGATTTAGGTGCTTCACGTAATCATTATGAGACAATATCAAAAGCCCCTTTTGATACAATCAGTTGAACAAAAGGCAGCTGAAAAGTTAATGAAGATTACATTTGAATAACTAGGCTAGTCCAGATTTTAAAATGATGAACAATATATTCCTTTAAATAGAAATAATAAAAATAGCCCTGTATAGCTTGTCCCTCTTAGAGGTCAGTGCACCATATGTAAGCATGGGCTGTTGTTGTTGTTGTTGTTACAAGATGAGTACATTTCTTTTGTTAATTTCTAAAAATCCATGTGACTTTAAAGAAGCTATTAGGAAAATTGTGTAGGATTAAACTCTTCATTTTGTAGAGGAGAAGGCCACAAACCTGGTGAAGAGTGCACCTTCCTCTGTTTAGACATGCGTTTAGCCATCCCAGTACCACTGCCTCACAAGGCCACTACGACTGCTGTGCTGTAGATATGTTATGCTTTTTCATCTTTCTTTGCTCAGCGTTATTTTGTAAACCTCTATTTACACATCTTCTTGTGTTACAAAAAACCCAACAATCTTTCTGCTTAATATAAACTAGGTACTAAATCCCTGATGCAAGAATCTGAACCTTCAGCATTGCCTGATCCCGAGACCCGAGAGGACTTTTTAAAATGTAAATACACTTTTTATATATATTATATCTGTGTTTACCATTTGTTGACTTTGAATGTTTAATTTAGAATGATTCACCAGCTATATATCCCCTATATTGTAGACACAAGGAGTTTGACCTTTGACCCAGACACCACCCATCATTTTCTCCGTGCAACGGATGGCAACAGAAAGCTGACCAACACCAGCCCCTGGCAGCACAGCTACCCAGAACACATTGCTCGCTTTGATTATTGGCGTCAAGCAATGACTTCGGACAGCCTTTACTTGGGGAGGCACTATATGGAAGCAGAGCTAAGTGGGGAGGGAGCACATGTAGGAGTCACGTACAAGAGCATCGATCGGAAGGGAGAGCAAAGCACCAGCTGCATCAGTGAGAACGACTTTTCCTGGTGCATGGGAAGGAACAGCCGAGGCTTCTTTGCCTGGCATACTGGTGTGGAGACGCCTTTGGGTGGCACTGATATCACAAGAATTGGCTTGTATGTAGATTTTGAAAGGGGCTCTCTGTCTTTCTTTGATGTAACAGGTCCTATGCAGCTGCTACACAAGTACATGGTTGATTTTATAGAGCCCTTATATGTTATAGCCTGGCTGTCAAAGAAAGACAATGTCATTTATCTTGTTTAAGCTAAATGTTCAGCTGCCTTCACTGAAAGCTTGTTAAAGAGTATAGAGTGCCTTATAAATGTTTATTGAGGTTACATAACAAGTTATCTAATTTTATTGTTCATATGGAGGATTTTTTCACATACATGTCAGTTAAGGTTACATTTACTACCATCTAGTGGCAACTCTGCAACATGACTTAAAAGACCTGCGCAGCAGTAGGTGTGTTAGGAATGTACTGCAGCTTTACTGCTCTTGAATTTAAAACAGATGGTGAAAAAAAAGTACACAAATGTCTGCCAGCATTTCTTTTATTTGCCTTTCATATACACTTGCTGAAAAAAAAGCAATAAAGCTTTAAGAGGATTTTTTTTGTCTATGAAGTGTCAGTAAAATCATCAAGTTAATACCATTAAGTCATTTTTTTAAAGTATTGACATCTTAAAAGTTTACTTGTTCACCTTCAGGCATTAAAATCAGTTTCATTATCATCATAAACCGGATTTACAAAGTGCACACCTGACTGAGTCATGGAGATTGAATTTTTTGTTTCAGTCGCATACAGTCCAGGAACTTTAGGCATCAAGTTTGGCTTGTTAAAAATTGGATTATCATAACCGTGATCAATAGGCCCATTGAGGTCTTCCTCATCTCTGCTTCTCCTAAAGCTGCTCAGGGATGGCAGGGATGGCAGGGATGGCAGCGATGGCAGCGATGATGGCATTTGAATAACCCCTCTACGAATCAGAAAGACCAAAGTGATTATGATTGAAATCCCAATCAAAACTCCAAACACAGTTCCAACCACCATCCCAGCACTGCCTCCAGTCTGATCGCTGCTGTTCCCGGAGGAGGCTTGAAATTCAGCCTCAGTGATACCCAGGCTTGAGCCATGAGAGCGTGCATCCTTCAATATGTCCCTGGCCAGACCCTCTGACTGTGTTCCCTTCTCTCCATCCACAATAACCACCTGGATTTCAGGTGAGGTACCAAAAGGGATGATCCCCATCAACTGCTGTGACTTGAAGATTTTAGACATGCCCAGCTGAATGGATTTGTATTTTGGCAAAACTAGAAATAGGTGGTGGATTCGTTGCCTGTAAGTTTGCAGGTTGAAACCAGTGGCAAAATGGATTGTGACAATGGCACCACAAACTTCACAGCAGTGTCCGACAGGGAGGAGAGGCTTCTTACAGCCCAGAGAGGCACATTGAACAGTGCTACAGATACGCTTATGGTTTACAGAATTCCCACAGGCGCAGCCAGAAGGATCTCCACACTCTTTGTTCCCAATAGTGACAGCAGAGGACCCGTGAAACTGCAGCCGGCCTGAACGTGAGCTGAGATATTGGGTGAACTCAGAGGTGCTTTCATACTTCTTCCCCAGCACAGACACAGATTTGACAGGAACAGAAGACTGACTGGTGCTGGTGTCCACCCTGAATGAAGAGCTGGCTTTAAAAACCACATCGTCGTACTGGCAAGGGACACTCTCCTCGTGGACTGAGAACAAGACGTTTCCATGCTGCAGGTCATCCAGGGTTGCAGACCCCTGCCACAGAGCTGGGTTTAACCATTGAAGAGACTCAGAATCTTTGAACTTTGTCGTAACACCCGCTCCGCAGCCCGGATCCTGTCCACTCACAACATAAAATCCAGCTCCTGAATTCAGGATGAACTCTCCATCCACTGGCAGCCTCATCTCCTGCACAGCATGTGTGGTCTCCACAAACACGGACACTTTTCTCTGGACTAGAAACTGAACTATGTCGTTGCCACATGGAACAGATTCTTTGTCCCAGTTGGTCTTGTTCTCATAGTTGGTGTCAGGAATCCACTGTTTGTACAGGGAATCCGATGTCCCGACAAGACAGAAGAGGAGAAGAAGCATGTCTGTTGTTTTCAGCATCCTGAATGTTTGTGACGGGCTGAGAGAACATTAGGTGAACTTTGTTTCTAACCTTGTGACTGACACATGAGTGCACACCAATAAACAGTGAGGTTGGTGAGCTCTGAACTACATCAACCTGTTGAAGCAGCTGACCTGTAAACTATTCACTTTTACTGCAGCAACAGCCCTGATTCATCCTTTATCCTTTGCTTAGTGTGTATTTTATCACAATATCACACAAATTAATTAATTATTAACAAATACTTTGATTTTTTGAAAAACATTTCCATAAACAACTTCTGAACCGTCCTCTCCGCCCATTTTACCCCCAAGTTGACTTTGCTGAGGTTTTCATTGAGAACTGTTCAATACATATTTGCTTTCAAACTAAATGTCAAAATCTCCCACTTGTATTTAGGATGTGTGCAGACATGCTGAGGCCCATACATGAAACAAAGAAAGGATAAATATTTAACTCTTATCCAACTAAATTACAGACATAAAGCTGAAAGAAAAAATACGTTTTACAACTTTACATTTCTTTAGGATTTCTTTCAAGATCGTTCCAAACATCATTATTTTCCTGGAGGAGGCCTATATTTTGAGCCACGCCCTTCAGATTCAGATTTCTACATTTACATGAGATGGTCCTTTGTCTTTGGCACTAGTAAAACAGCACTCACCTATACACAGCACAACATAAATACACAATACACGAACAAATTGCATCTTAAAGTCAAAAAGTGACTAAATTGCAGTCATAATAAAAGTGCTAAGTGACATTTTCTTTGACTTGCGTGTAGTCCATTGAAATAGCCTATCATGGCATGGAAGTTTATTAATGATATTGGTTTATAATGATAAAAATGTGTAGATTTGTACTATTGCTTTTGCATCAGCATAGTATAATAAGACAGAAAACAGCTTGTTTGTGATTTAAACTGTATTGGATTTGTCCATATCTGATTCAGCAACAAATAGGTTCAATCTGCAAAAAAAGCATTCATCCTGCTTTCTCATATAGAGGTACCAGGATCATGCATGAAAAAAAATAAACATTGAACGCACCCTCATTGAAAATGAACGCCACCTGAGGCAAGATGTCTGCACTTGCGACACAATCCCTTACTTGTACACATAAGAAAGACATGTTTTTCCTGTTTACATAAAATAACAATAAAGTACTTTTCCAGACGGGAGTTGACTTGGTAGTGACGATCGGAACTTCCCATGATAAATATTTGTTTGGGCTGCACTGTGCGTTCGACGGCGCGAGACAATAAGTAATCAGCTGAAACTCATTACACCTGTTCATTTAGGTTAAAGGTGGTGAGCAAGCTTTCTGTGCACTCCACCAGCAGGGAGAATAACACTTATTTCATGAATTCCAACGCCCAGTGTGTTTTCTCAAACCATATGCATTTCATCATTGAAATGATATAAACAGGTCCGGGTGTCCTGAGACCTTTTCCTGACTTTTAGTCGCGTACAGGCCCAGTTTGGCCGGACAGACATCATGAAAACTGTATCCCGACGAATGTTCCGGACCTGCAACAAACTTTTCTCTAGGTAAGTGTGTGGGGGAGGGATGTATTTTCCTACTTTTTATATTAAACTGGACCGAGTATAGGTTCAGAGGACTATCCCTGAAATGTTTTAACATCATATTATGAGTCTGGGGTCCAACGTATAACTATTGCTTTAAATGTTAAGTTAACTTGTAAGTTGTAGGCCCTGGGTACTCTTTCTGGTACACGAATTACAATTTCAATGCGATCCAATACATTATCTGATCAATCCACATTCTACATAAAGGAATATTCTAACTTTTTTCTTTTGACACTGTCAGATTAGTGTAATATGTTTATTATTCTGGTCTGACTCATGTTATACCTAACCCTACTGGACTCGATTTCATATTGAAATGTGTATTGGATATTCTAATGCCCTTTTGTTTGTAAAGGAGACGATTGACTGAACTTGGAGGATGAGTCCAATAATTTAATTTATAAGTGGAAATTATTTGCACGTTTAGAGATTCTGTGTATTTTAATGAAGGAGTGGGGGCCATTTTAAAGAGATCATTTAACTTTCTTTTTGAAAAATAAACCTTCAATCTTAGAAATATTGAGGCTGAAAATATTTCAGTGAAGGCTCATAAATTGTATTTTGTTGTCAGCTGGTAACTGTTCTTTTTTTTTTTTTTTTTTTTCTTTTGTAGAAAAACTCTAAATGATGTTGTGGAGGCCCATCCATCCAACATAGAGACAGCAGCACAGATGGACAACATCCAACATTTGACCAGTCCTTCCCATAATACCAGTGTTAGGGACAGCATTCACCATATTGAGGAAGTGATGGAGAGGGCCCACCATGATGGTGGATGGCTCCTGTATGGCATTATCTGCATCAACATCCTGATCCTGGGCTGCGCTCTGGTCAGCGGAAGTGCCTTCAACAGTGTGGCCATTACTGCTGTAGACAGGCAAATCTTCCTCATCATTCTCCTACTCCTCACAATATCGTGGATGCTGTTTTACACAGTCTTCACCTCACGAAAGGATGAGGCTGTTTCGTTCAGAGATGGCCATGCGGGGCCTGCATGGCTCCGAGGTCAGTTCATTCTTGGTTTAGGTTTTAGGTGAATGTCATTTCAAGATTGAATCACTTTAATGTTTTTGTTCCAGCTGGACTTCTACTGTTTGGACTTCTCAGTCTCATCATGGACATCTTCAAGATTGCCATCGCTGTGGGCTACCTTCACTGTGACTCTGCTGTTAAAGTTGCATTTCCTGTCGTCCAAGCTGTGTTTCTATTTGTCCAGGTTGTTTTTATTTTAAAAACGTTATGTTAATGCATGCAAGAACATGTAATCTGTTGATGAGTTGGGAAAACTGAACAAAACCCTTTTGGCTTTTAAGACATATTTCCTGTGGATTCATGTGAAGGACTGTGTGCAGCAACACACACATTTTACACGGTAAATTATTTTCTTTATTCATCAGAAAATATACCTATTCTTGCTGCACACTCATGTTTTCATTCTTCCAGATGTGGGCTTACTCTTACGCTTTCAACTAACCTGGTGGTATGGATGGCAGCCGTCACTGAGGAATCTCTTCACCAGACTGACATTCCTGATCTACACTACAATGTCTCACAAAGGATGTCCAGAGGTATTTTGAGATGGATTTATTTTCAAGTCTTTCAGATTTATTTTAGCATCATTAAGAGAAAAATAACTTAATCTTCCATTTCAGCCAGCGTTGTCAATAAGAAGTGTAATTGCAGTTACTCGGCATGCTACACCTTGAAAGAGGCCTCCTTCTACCTGTATCCCTTCAACATAGAATACAGTCTCTTTGCTTCGGCTATGGCCTACGTCATGTGGAAAAACGTTGGTCGGCTTGTGGACAATCACAGCCATCACAAGGTCAAGTTCCGCATAAAGGATGTGTGTTTGGGACCTTTGACCGGCGTCCTCCTGGTGGTGGCAGGACTTGCAACATTCATAATGTACGAGGTGGAAATAGAAACAGGGGATGTGACAAAAACAGACAAGGCTCTGCTGATCCATTTCATCATGAATATAGTGATAGTGAGCATGATGTCCCTCTCCACTGTGATTGGCTGCATCATCTACAGGTTGGACCACAGGGAGCACGTATCTGAGAAGAATCCAACCCGCAGCCTGGATGTGGGGCTGCTGGTGGGAGCCTCACTGGGGCAGTTCATCATCAGCTATTTCACTATCGTGGCAGTGGTGGCGACAGAAGCCAGAGGATATCTGAACGCCCTCAACCTGACCTGGGCCTTGCTGACAGTGCTACAGCTCAGCCTGCAGAATTACTTCATCATCAAAGGCCTCCATCGGGAGCCCTTCCATGTGATGCAGGAAGCGGCTCTGCACACAAACCCTCATGCTTTCCAAGAACATCCAGAGATTATCATTGTTCAGGAAAGCCATAAGACCAGCTACTTCCTGACTTCAAGCTGTGATAAGCCTAGTTGGAAGAGAAGAGTACTAAAGGAAGTCTGTGCCTTTCTACTGCTTGCCAACATTATTGTAAGTTTAAGCTTATTTTCTTTCATTGATTATATTGAAACAAACCAATGATCAGTAATGTTTCTGTTTTTTAAACGTGTCCTTATTTTCTTACTCTTCAGCTGTGGATCATGCCCGCCTTTGGTGCTCGTCCCCAGTTTGATCATCCCATAGAGATAAAATTCTACAAAGTCTCAATGTGGACGGCCATTGTGAATATTGGACTTCCTTTTGGAATCTTCTACCGTATGCACTCTGTCGCCAGTCTCTTTGAGGTGTACATAATCTCGTAGATGGACTTCTGTTTGGGAATGCAGAGTAATTTTATAAACGTAATGTCCATTTTTATTTATCAAACGTATACATTGACCTTGTTATATTAATAAATATTATTCAAACATAAAATACATGTCATGTATAACTTGTTGGCCAACATTTAAATAACAATATTAATTTGTATTTAAGATGGATATGCCTTTCATAATGTGCTGCACTTTACAGGCACTAGCATTTAAATGTATTATTTACCAAGATTTTGTATTTTTCCTCAAAGGCACATGGTCAATTTAGCAACGGACAGAGGTTTTTATTTAAAGGATCAAAAGAAACTGGACTGTAAACATTACAAATGGTTTCAATCCTTATGACTTTTACCCTTTTTAAAGTACTAACTGCGTGTAACAGGTTTGTTTTGGGTATAGATAATATAATCGCATATTAATTATGATTATGTATTGATTTTATCCTTTTTAGAGGCTTCAAGGGGTACCCAGTATTTCACAAGAACATATAATTTTACTGGTTGCTTGCTGGGCAATAGTGCCTTCTAGTGGTTATGGTCCAAAATATGTATTTTTCACTTTAAACAATTAATAATTGAGCAGTTATGATTCAGTGAGAATTTAAGTTTTCTTTCAGTATTGATGAGACTCTACACTGTTAAAGTCTAACCCATTAGTTTCACGTCTTTCCCATTTAAAGCACAGAGTTCAAGAATGCAACCAACCCAACATTCACAGATGCATATCAATATATATTTTCAGGATAATTTACGTAAAATACAATTTTCAACATCAAGCATTGTAAGCATAGCTGACCAGATCCAAACAAAAACCTGGTCATATACATAAAAACATACAATCTGTATAATTGTCTCAAATCCTGTAGTGTAAATTGTCACAAACTACATCCATTTAATTAGACAACCAGTTGAGAGTGCACTTAAAGCATGGCAATTACAACAAATAACGTGAAACACCAATAGTGTGCCCTCCAGGATATTTTACAAGCCTCTCTTGGAAATGATAATATATTCTATAGTAAGAGCTGACGCTAAAGTTTACCAATATTTAACTGGTATGCTGCCAAGAAAAGAGCCTCAGCCTTCAGTAAATGCTCCAGACATTCTATGGTCTTGAGAAATGTACAAACACAGTAGTTCATGGGCAATTTTGATAATTCAATCATCTCCCATTATCTGAAAGGTATCTCTACCCCTTACAAATGACTTGCCTACCAAAGTTGGTAGTGAATAAATGTTGATGATTAGGGAGGCAAGTTAAACAGTGAGGTTTATCAGGAGCCAAGCAGATAATGAAGGGAGGAGAAACCCTGGAGTTGAACAGTTCCATTTTTGGTCTTCTGCTTACATCTTCTGAATCTCAAAAAGGCGGACATCAGTGTCATACCAGATAGGAGGGTCCACATTGCTGGAAAATCAAAAGCAGATGTAGGTGTTTAGTCAGTGTGAATAGACTGTTGCATAATTCTCAGCTCTTGTGGTTGACTTACCGCAAATAAACAACCCCCCACATGTAGGTGCGAAACCACATGGCAGTGCCCGCGTTGGCCTGATACTTTCTGATGAGGATAGGGTGAGGAACTGGCAGCAGGCCGACTAATGTGCCATGCTGGAGAAACTTCAGGATCTCTGATTCATCTGTCAGACCCCTGCAGTGAGACAAGTGAGCACACATTAAAACAAGGTAACATTTCAAAAGATACTACATGGCGATTAAAGAGAAATCGTTTATGTACTTGTCGATGCAGATCTTCTCCACCTGGGGAACCAGCACCTGTAGAAGTCGCATTATAGTCTGCAGGGGAAGTTTACTTTTCCAGGAGAGGACCTGGGACAATAAAGATAAATTCAAATCAGTTACACATTCTGCCACATCTAAATTTAGGAGAGGCTGAAAGCAAGATCAGATACTGACCCATTCTGGTGTTGGAGCCCAAGAAGATGTTGAAGACGCTATTGAAAAACGCTTTCTTTCCATTTCTGCTTCAGTGTAGAAAACATCCTAATAATGTAAAGTAAAAGATTAACTAACTTTGCTATTCTATTAAACAGAGACGTGCACACACTTACTTCGTTGTCTCTGCCTGAGTTGGACTCTGTGTCACTGGTCCCAGCGACTGCACTTTGCTCTGAGGGGGCTGCTTGTGAGGCGCCTGTCTTTTGGACTGACACCATGGTGCCATCCTCTGACACCTGGGACTTTTCAGTCAGTTTATCTATAGCTGCAAAAACACAGAAAGCCAATCATTATTTGCAAGATATGTCTGGTGATTTAATTTATTTTTCTAATTGTCTAACAAACCCATGAAAACACCAAAACAAAAATGTATAAGTATTGTCTGTGTATCCAAAACCTGATGCACTGTAGTGTATTCTTCTGTACCACAGAGCTCCAGTTTTTGTCCAACAGCCAATAAAAATACAATTGGCCATTTCCCCTGTGTAACTGATTAATTTTTACGATAAACATTGGTACTAAAGTTTATTTTCAGTCGGCTCTACAATTTCTTCCTGCTGTTAATAGTTGCTACTGCAAAACTTACACAAACAAAAATACACTATTTACATCTGTTTGGATAACTATTTTGTTATCAAATTTAAGTAAATGTTTGTTTGTCCTCTTATTAGGTAGGACAATAAGCTTATTATTGTGCTCAACTTGTGTAAGATTGTACATAGGACAAACACCCACCCTACAGTCAAAAGTTATTTAGTAGTCAATGTATTAATATATCAAGTTGACCTATGATCCAATTTAACCCTTCAATAACACAATAAGGGATAATGTCCGTTTTTCAATGTCGAGTAAAGCTGCTCCAGAGCCACTATTTCAAGCATACTAAGTCATCGAGTGCCGCCGAAGGACTGCTCCAATGTCCAGCATACTTGGAATTCTACCGAGTCCGGCGTACTTTGTAGCGAGAAATTTAGAGGCTGCACATGTGTAGACTCCGCGGTCTTAAAACCCCCACAATGCTTTGCGCACGGACCAATTTCCCAAAATCTGTGGCGGAAACTGTAAGGCGGCGCCTCTCATATGACGCACACCTGCACACTTGCTCGCCTGTTCCACTCTTCATTTTCCGAATGCCAGGAAGTATTCTTGCCTCGCTTCTGAAGCAAGTGACTCGGAAGACATGTGCTACCAAGCAAGTGTACTCGACATTGAGAAACACCCAATATGTCAGTACCTGGTATAGCAACCAGGCTGGTCTTCAGTGTGCCAGGCTCTGCCGGCACAGCAGGGTGCGAGCCCTCCATGGATACAGTCTCCTGAGAGCTGGTGCGGGAGATGACATCCGGAGTCTTCCTCTTCCTCTGCAAACCCTTCTGGATGCAGGCAGAATCAGAGGGCAGGTTGACCAACTGGTGGAAGACGTTGCGTTTGCGGATGATGGCGTACACCAGGTTGCAGTTTCCTTGAAGTGATGGAAAGAGGGCAGGATTTATTATGTTACAAAAGGTCTTACTAAGTTTATTCCACAAAAGCAAAAAGGCATTTAAAATCCTTACAAGATAATTATATACAACATTATATTACATAACATCCTTACCATCAAACTGGTACTGGATAATATTGTTGAAAGCCTCGAGAAGAAAGAACACAAGGTGATGGTTCTGGGCTACAGAGAACAAGAACCAGGTGGTGGAGAAGGCCTCCAGCAGGTGGAGCAGTTTATTGGCTGCCACCATGGAAAGGCTCTTCAAATAGGGAGACACTGCAGGATGAGAAATGTCATTAAATAAGGAAAACTTTAACCATTTGTATTTGATTAAGTGGCATCTATTTCTTATGAGATGATAAAATGTTTAAGTAATTGATGCTGCAAATAAAAGGTGTGTGTTGCCAGACAGATGGCGCCAGAGCAATTTACCGTTTACAACAATGGTGAGTAGGCAGTCAAACAGAGGCTGGAGACGCTGGTGGCCTGTGGTGATAATCTTGTGAAACACCTACAAAACAAAGACGGTGACAGCTGTGAGCATTAACTGTAACTATATTTGGCAGGAATTAAGACCATTTCAGAATCTGTAGTCACCACTCACCACTATAAGCAGGTCGGCATGAGTCCCCGTGAACACAGGGATGTCCATAGGCACATGGACGGAGTAGGGCTTATTCAAACGCACGCCAAAGTTTCTCTCTCCACTCAGCAGCAGCAAAATGAACACACCAATGTGCATGAGTCCAACACGGGCTGCAGCCATAAAACACCACATCAGAATATAATTAAAGGTCACCTATTGTGCAAAATCCACATTTTCATTTCTTTCATACTTAATCATGTCCCCCCTCTGTGTAAAGAGATTCTGAAGGTTTCAGGAAAAAAGATTCTCTTTCTTTTTGTCCTGATCCATTTATATAAAAACCTGTCTGAAAATGAGCTGATCAGATTTTGGCCACTTTATGATGTCATAACGATTTTTTGGGTTGTGTAACCATTAGCAAATCATCAACCAAGGTACCCCCCCCCCCCACACCTTATCACCTGAATCTCCTCCTAGAGCACCATTGTGTTCTTTGTAACCAAATATCTCTCAGAGGGGCGTGGGGAGGGGCTCCTTATTTTCATCTAAAGTAACAGACAGAGAATCAGCACTTTTGAAACAGGGCTGAAACAGAGGGGATTATGGGATGCTAAAATGCATGATCTGTTTGGTATTTTGAACCAAACACTTCAGAGACATGTTTTGTATATCTCTGAGACCTATAATATATTGATACCTTTAACTAAATGTTTATTAGAGATTTCTTGGATGCAAGGACCATCTGAAAACACTGGGTTGAAACTCACACTGGTCAGCCCTGGCATCATTCAGGTAGAAGAGTATAGGAACCAAAATATCCAGCACATCACTACTCTTCAGGACAAAAAACAGGAACTTCTGTCATGGGAGCACACAAGAGATGTTGTTGAATAAAACAAAGCTCCTAATCAAACAAACATTTTTTGTTATTTGTTCTAACCTTGTTAAAGTCACAAAGCTTCCAGAAAAGCACCAACAGCTCTTGGTGGAACTGGATCTTCTTTGTAGAGTTAGGCAGGTAAGTCTGAGTCAAAGGGTTGGTCAGCAGACGAGCTAGGCCCTTCAGCACAAAGTCAAAGTCCTGCCAACAGAGAGGGA